TGGGTCATCTATAAGCTACAGCTTTTCGTTATCTTTAAACACGTTGTGATCATCCATCTTTGGTTTTGTGGTGTTCACACAGACAAACTCCAATATGACTCCATTTTTTCCTATTTTCAACGTTGAAATTTTGCTTCAGTGTAATTTAGACGTCGATCACACATTTTTCATAACATCTCTACATTGCATTTTCAGAATCATAAGGGTGACTATGGATACAATTTTCCAGTTTCCTCCAATGATGTATTTTTAATTCTATTAATAATATACAGGGTTGCCCATATTCGACGGACCCATGTTTTTTTTTAATCAAAGAAAAAAATAAAAATTTGGCGGTTTGCAATGTTAATCATTTAATTTGTTCCAAGTAGATTTGTTTACATCAATTTTGGAATATATCTCTCAAATGGCCGCCTCTGGCGTTGATGACGTATTGTGCCCTTTTTGCTGCATTTTCCATCGTTTTTGCCAACATTTCGGCCGGAATAGCGGCTATTTCTTCACGAATGTTGTCCTTGAGTTCTTCTACGGTCCTTGGCTTATTAACGTAAAGCTTTGACTTCAAATATCCCCACAAGAAGAAGTCAGGCGGCGTCAAATCGGGCGAACACGGTGGCCAGTCAAAATCACCACTTTTCGACATCAAACGGCCCGGAAAAAATTCTTCAGAAAATCAATTCAAGAGGCAGGCCATTTTCTTGAATAACGCCGCACCAAACTGTGACTTTTCGTCCTGAGGATTTTCAGTGGCGTAAAAACGGCAATTTTGCTTATTTACGGTCCCATTCAATGTGAAATGGGCTTCATCGGACATGATAATTTTGTTCCAAAATTGCCCGTCATCTTCGGCCATTTCGATGACTCTTTGGGCCCATTCCAATCGACGAGGCTTGTCCGCAGGCAACATTCTTTGCGTCAATTGAATTTTGTACGAATTTTGTACAAATGCAAATCAATGCGAATAATCCGTTGTAAAGTGGACCGAGCCATGCCCAACTGCTGAGAATGGCGTTTTTGGGATGTTCTTGGGGACCTCTCAACACTGGCTCGTACGGCAGCGATATGCTCAGCCGATCGCCTTGGTCGTCTTTTATATGGCCTCTTCGGATTAGAAAGAGCCTTACCAGTCGAAAATTTTTCGTATAAACGCTTAATGGTGTTCTTAGAAGGCGCACTTCTCACATTTTTTAATGTTTTAAAAGCACGTTGAGTTTTCACAATTGACTTCTTCTGTTGAATGTAAATTTCAACTATTTCAGAGCTCGCGTGGCGTGTATTGGTTCATGGTAAAAATCTGCTTGGACTGACGCTTCAAACGCGGTATGTCATTAAGCGATGTGACATCTCTGTCAAAAGTCATGGCGTTGCCAGATGGGTCCGTCGAATATGGGCAACCCTGTGTATTTATTTTATTAATTCAAAATTTAAATTCGCAAAAATATTTGAACCAGCCTCGTTTATAGAAATGCATCAGGTTAGGCAAAAAGAAAACAAAAACAAAAAAAAAATGCAACATTACTTCGCAAATTTTCCACACATTTATGTGCATATTTGTTTATCCTTTATACACAACTGTCAAAACCAGCTGAGATTTGTTTACATTTTCTAATCCATCACGCTATGGCAACACGTGTATCTACACACATATATATTTCGATATATTTATCTCAATGTTTTGTCTGTTACCGCTTCTATTAATCCCTTGCAGCTGAGCCACTCTATAAAAGTAAATCCTCATCCCCTAAAAAATCTATAACCATTATACGAGTAGGTGGTGTCCAGTGCCAAGGTAATCGATCTGATTTGCTCACTATGCTGCATACATACATTCACATGTTTGTACAAACATGACCTTTGTTCACAGAGATAGCCAGGATGAAAAAAATATGAAATCCCTCTTCAATAGAATGCCGGTTGTGTACACGGTCCACAGCCAACCATTGTATCCTGCACGATGTTTAACATTAGGTCTGTCGCATGTTTTGCGTGTCGTCTCCATGTGTATTGGTTGATTGCCAGAGATGCTTCGCTTTGCTAGCCACTGCATCCTGTCAGCCATCAGTTGTAAACATTCAGTGAATCAGGCAAAAAGGACTTTTTTATTTACTCCCTTATACATTTTGAAGGGAGAATTATTGTAAAAAAAAAACAGAGAGAAAAGAGAATATTCTCCCGTTTTACTGAGACACAATTCAGAGAAAATTCCACGAAGCTTTCATTTTTTGAATTGCAACTTCTCAATCAACTGTGAACGTTTATAAGAGGAGGTATGGGCCGGATAATTGTGAATTATGTTCGAAAAGTGATAAAAAAAAAATTTAAAATAAATAAAATAAATTTTAATAATAATTTTAAAAATCCACGCTAGACCTCGAAATAATATATAAATATCATCGTCTTGTGCTGGTCCTTGAAAAATATTTTTTTTTAAAAATCCGCGCCTTGTGTTGATCCCCTAAAAATATTCTCTTGTGTTGGTCCTTAAACATATTTAAACCAGTAAGGAATATAGTAAAGTCGGACTGGGCCGACCTTCACCACTTTGGGTATATTCTACATAGTATCCTAACAGACGTCGCCTTTTCGTAAGAGCATTGACATGAACTTGAACGAAAGATACTTAAGAACTTTGGTGCACCATTTACATAACATCGGTCAAAAATATATATGGGAGCTATATCTAAATCTGAACCGATTTTCACGAAACTTAGCACACATAAGTATAGACTCAATTCGAAAGATATTTTGGGACTTTGGCGCACCATTTACTTTAAATCGGACGGAGCTAAATCTAAATATTGACCGATTTTCACGAAAATTATCACACATTACGGAGTTAATTCAGTACGCTATGCCAAATTTTGTGCAAATCGAAAGATATATAGGGGCTTTGGTTCACCATATACATTAAATAGGACGAAAATATATATGGGAGCTATATCTAAATCTGAACCGATTTCCACGAAACTTAGCACACATCATTCTAGATTTAATTTAGTACGCTATGCCAAATTTCGTGCAAATCGAAAGATATTTATGGACTTTGGTGCACCATTTATTTTAAATCGGACGAAAACATATATGGAGCTATATCTAAATCTGAACCGATTTCCACGAATCTTAACACTCATCATTCTAGACTCAATTCATTAAGCTATGCAAAATTTCGTGCAAATCGAACTTTGGTTCAAAACATATACATAAAATCGGGCGAAAATATATATGGGAGCTATATCGAAATCTGAACCGATTTTCCCGAAACTCACCACTCATCATTCTAGACTCAATTCATTAAGCTATGCAAAATTTCGTGCAAATCGATGGATATGTAGGGACTTCGGTGCTACATATACATAAAATCGGACGAAAATATATATGGTAGCTATATCGAAATCTGAACCGATTTTTCCCTATTTTAATAGGGTTCGTCCTTGGGCTAAATAGATGAGCTGTGCCAAATTTAATCCAATTCGGATAATAAATGCGACCTGTTCTTTTTTAAAGAATATTTTTTCGAGGTCTACAGGAGGCGTGGATTTTTTTAAGAATAATTTTTCGAAGTCTACAAGAGGCGTGGATTTTTTAATGAATATTCTTTCGAGGTCTACAAGAGGCGTGGATTTTTAAGGAATATTTTTCGAGGTCTACAAGAGGCGTGGATTTTTTAACTAATATTTTTTCGAGGTCTACAAGAGGCGTGGATTTTTTAAAGAATATTTTTCGTGGTCTATAAGAGGCGTGGATTTTTTAAAGAATATTTTTCGTGGTCTATAAGAGGCGTGGATTTTTTAAAGAATATTTTTCGTGGTCTATAAGAGGAGTGGATTTTTTAAAGAATATTTTTCGTGGTCTATAAGAGGCGTGGATTTTTTAAAGAATATTTTTTCGAGGTGGATTTTTTAAAGAATATTTTTTCGAGGTCTACAAGAGGCGTGGATTTTTTAAAGAATATTTTTTCGAGGTGGATTTTTTAAAGAATATTTTTTCGAGGTCTACAAGAGGCGTGGATTTTTTAAAGAATAGTTTTTCGAGTTGGATTTTTTAAAGAATATTTTTTCGAGGTCTACAAGAGGCGTGGATTTTTTAAAGAATATTTTTTCGAGGTGGATTTTTTAAAGAATATTTTTTCGAGGTCTACAAGAGGCGTGGATTTTTTAAAGAATATTTTTTCGAGGTCTACAAGACAAAGATGAAGACTGGATCTCTATAGAGGTCTGTATAAGTAATGGGGATCTCAATAGAGGTCTGTATTGTCAAAGATGAAGACTGGATCTTTATATAGGTCTGTATAAGTAATGAGGATCTCTATAGAGGTCTGTATTGTCAAAGATGAAGACTGGATCTCTATATAGGTCTGTATAAGTAATGAGGATCTCTATAGAGGTCTGTATTGTCAAAGATGAAGACTGGATCTCTATATAGGTCTGTATAAGTAATGAGGATCTCCACAGAGGTCTGTATTGTCAAAGATGAAGACTGGATCTCTATATAGGTCTGTATAAGTAATGAGGATCTCCACAGAGGTCTGTATTGTCAAAGATGAATACTGGATCTCTATATAGGTCTGTATAAGTAATGAGGATCTCTATAGAGGTCTGTATTGTCAAAGATTAAGTCTATATAGGCAAAGATGAAGTCTATAGAGGTCTGTATAAGTAATGAGGAGCTATATAGGGGTCTGTATAAGTAATGAGGAGATCTATAGAGGTCTGTATAAGTTATGAGAGCTCTATAGAGGTCTGTATAAGTAATGAGGAGCTCTATAGAGGTCTGTATAACTAATGAGGAGCTCTATAGAGGTCTGTATAGGTAATGAGGAGCTCTATAGGATTTGTTAATAAATATTTTTTTAGCTACCAAAAAAGGTGTGGATTTTTTAAGGAATATTTTTCAATCTGGCAAAATAGGCGTGGATTTTTAAAGAATATATTAAAATTTTTTATTAATTTTTCTAACCTCACTTTTATGTTTTTTTAAATTTCTTCCAGCACCCCGGCCCTTTCGTATTGCCACAACCATTCCAAATGAATGCCACAGACGAAGATCTTAAACTACAAACGTAAATTTTCGATTATATTTTGTTGTAATGGACTGGCTATTAGAAACGCCTCAGCTATATAGTGCTTTCTCCTCACTGGGCTCCCTCATGGGAGATACCTATGTTGTAAGTGATAAGGTTCTAGGTAAGTCCATTGCTAACGCCATCCGAACACCAAAAACTACTTGACAACTAACAATGCTGCACTTTCCAGAAACATTGGAAGAAATTGACTTTAAATTGACCTATGAAGATCAAACCCTACGAACATTTCGTCGAGCTGTAGGTTTTGGTAAAAATGTTAAATCCGATTTGCTACCCCTGTTGGAAAATGCCAAAGATGAGGAGGTATTCGATTCGGTTATAAGGATATTGGTAAACCTCACCGCGCCCGTGGAATGCCTCTTCTCCGTGGATGTTATGTATCGGACCGAAGTGGGCCGATACACAATCTTCGAATTGAATAATTTATTGCACACGAGCAAGGAGGCCTTTACCGATCCGAAAAGTACAAAATGTGTTGTGGAATATATGACGCGGATTTTGGAATCCGATTCAAAGTTATCGGCCAAGAAATGTGAACAAATCAATAATTGTTTATTGTTGTTGCGTAATATTTTGCATATACCCGAACCGAGAGGCAACTACATCATGTCCACGGCGGCCCATAACCAATCGGGTGGAACCCATGTGGTCTCTATGCAAAATACAATTTTGTGGAATTTATTTATTCAGAGTATAGATAAATTGTTGCTGTACCTTATGACATGCCCCCAGCGAGCGGTATGGGGTGTTACACTGGTCCAGCTGATCGCCCTCATGTATAAGGATCAGCATGTTAGTACCCTGCAGAAGCTATTGAATATGTGGTTTGAAGCTTCGCTATCGGAAAGTTCGGAGGATAATGAGAGTAACACCTCGCCTCCCAAGCAGGGTAGCTGTGATTCGAGTCCCATGCTGACATCGGATCCTACATCGGATTCATCGGATAATGGTAGAGCAACATTAATGTCATTTCAAAGAGTTACTAACACTTTTCATTTATCCCATTGCAGGCAGTGGCGGTACCAAGAAAAACGTCAGCTCCGAGGATCGTCGTCAGGCTTTGCGCGAAGAAACCGAAGCCACATTGCAAGAGGTAAGTCGTAAGGGCCAAGAATATCAAAATGCCATGCTACGAGTACCAGCTGACAATGGTGATGCCACCGAAGTGGCAACCGATCTCAGTATGAAGAAGAAGACCAATCAAGAATCCAACAACAATTCAAATTGGTCCCAAAAGGAATCGGAACAGGGTACCTGCCCTTCGTCGCCGACAAAAATGAAAAAGGAAAATAACAATAAAATTGATAACAACGATGCAACGGAAACTAAAACAACAACATCAAACAAACAACAACCACAACAACAATTACAACAACCAGCTGAATCGAATTCAAGCACTTCCAAAATGTCCGACAGTGACAATTTTATGGCTCCACCAGCCTTACCTATTACTAAGCCCACAGCATGCGTAACAGTTGCTCCATTACCATTAATGGCCAACGATCCGGAATTAATGGAACCATGTCCAAAAAGTCAGAATCAACAGAAAACACCCCATTCGGCACATGTCAAGCTAACAATGGGTAAATGTGGTCCCCAGAAGCGACAATGCCCCTCGTCACAATCGGAACTATCCGATTGTGGTTATGGTACACAAGTTGAAAATCAAGAGTCCATATCAACCTCTAGCAATGATGATGATGGTCCTCAGAGCAAGCCACAACATCAAAAGCCACCATGTAGCTCCAAGTCACGTAAGGGCCAGCGTAATATCTTGACGGCCATCGATAAGAAGGAGTTGCGAAGGAAGAAGCTGGTGAAGCGGAGCAAGAGTAGTTTGTAAGTATTTTTTTAAAAATCGCCAGTGGGCCACTATATGAGGCCTTGAAAAAATATCTATTTAGATGTCTGTATAGTTAATAAGGAACTCTATAGAGGTCTGTATAGGTAAAGAGAATATCTATAAACGTCTGTACAGGTAATGTGGACCTCTATAGAGGTCTGCATAGGTAACGAGGAGCTCTATAGAGGTCTGTATAAGTAATAGGGAGCTCTATAGAGGCCTGTATTTGTAATGAGGAGCTCAATAAAGGTCTGTATATGTAATGAGGAGCCTTTATTAGTTCTATAAAGGAATTGAGGAGCTCAATAAAGGTCTGTATAGGTAATGAGGAGCCTTTATTAGGTATGTATAAGTAATGAGGAACTCTATAGAGGTCTGTATAGGTAATGATGAGCTCTATAAGGGTTTGTGTAGGGAATGGGGAACCTCTAT